GGAGGTGCAGGCACTCCCAAAGCAGCCTTGGTATTCTTAGTATGAATTTTAAGCTATGAGGTTCATACATATATATATATATATCAGTGGGAATGATGACTGTTATCACTATTGTGCATCAAAGGTACTGTTTCATCTATAAAGACGGATGATGCTGATTTACTGTATCACTTAACCTACAAACACCTCCAAGAACTGTTTGTCTGGATGTTTTCTGATGCGCAGGCCGAAGTTTCAGAATTGAGAATACTTAGAAAAACAATTTTATAAAGCTGTGTAATTTTCAATGCTGCAGCTCAAGGAAGGCATTTTGGCAAGCAGCTGCTCTCCTTTGGTTCTCAAAGTCAATTTTTGTATGATATACTGAAAAAATTTTATTGGCAATTTTTTCTTACTTCACGCTGAGCTGGAGTTACTTCGGAAGTAGTTTCACTGGCATCCGGCTGGTTTGTTGTCTCAACCCGTGGTGCATTTTGTCGTAAGAAGCCCTCAAAAGTTTTCAGTTCTTCGCGATCGTCGAGAACTTTCTCGCCCTTAACATCCAAATTTTTCAAAATTTTATATTACTGCATGTGTTTCTTTGGAAATACCTACTAAACTGGTAACGTTATCGCTGCTGCTCACCGCTTTAGCGATCACAGCATCGACATGCAATCTGGCACGATAAAAGAAGTGATAACTGCTCTGTCACTGACAGTGCCCATATAAAGTGATGTACTTACATCGAACAAGTTGTGATCATCCTCATCAGCAATCCGTTCGTCCAGAGCTCGTATTATAGCTGCCCGGGCGCCACGTTCACGTCCTGTTTGTCCAGTTTCTTGATCGTAAATCTGATAAATCAAAGTTAAGAAATCAAAATTTCCATTCGAATTCCACCTCTGATAAGAAATGGAGATACTCAAAAATAGTGGTATCAGCAAGTGAACATTGTATTAAAAATTTTGAGATTTCAGTGCTAAGTTGCGAAGTGTGTCGAAGCTGAATTACTAACTTTATTCGCTGAATGTATTTTAGAAAAATGCAAAATACATTTGCAAAAATCAAAGCCTGAAACCTAAACATACATGGAGAACTGGTAGTTAAGTTGAAATTAGGATGTTTCGGTTCATCAAGCACATACAGTTCTAGCACAGCGCTACATCTGGATAAAGTCAGTATAACGGTTGTGGTACAAATCATTACATGACAAATTTATATTAAGAATAAGTTGATCTTTTTGTAATTATTTAGTCTTTACTTCTTTTTAATATTTTTTTTGCTTTCGCGGATGAAGAAAAACCTTAAAAAATAAATGCGTTGAGCAACTACAGGATGAATGATATATTCCGCAAATTCAAGTTTCCAAACCCCGTGGACAGGCAGACCATGTTGCTCACCTTGCTAATAACAAGTGAGGACTAGCATTAACAACCAGTACTACTCGACAGGAAGTAAATGACCATTCGGGTCCGAAGAAGTGGCATGCATTCATCAAACAAGCGGTTGATACCAACTGGAACAGCTGCAAATTGAATTCGGGTTTGACATAGCTGCAAGCGGCATGTGCGGTCATCCCAGTAACATCATTATCAGAGGATCCCTCCAGCTGACTGCCCAGGGACGGTTTTGGTAGTTCCAGTTCTATTTTTAGTAAGTATACTTCATAAATAGGCAACTCTATATTATCTTTGTTCTTATTTTTCCACTCATAAGAAAATTAGATCTAAATTACCAGGTTTGTTTCGGTTTGCTTCACAGTACTCGTATTCTTTTTGATTAAACTGCCATCTGGTGCAAACATGCCCGCATAGATCGATTCATGCTGTGGTGGTAACTCCGGAATCGTGTTGATTCCTTGAATAATGCATCCTTATACCATTTCGCCAAAAAATCAGCATACAGAGAAACTCAAAAATTGAAACCGCTATGAGCCGTAGAGGCATTCAGGAGGTAGCGCAAGCGGCACCTGGTGCCAGCAGCAACTCCAAAGTTGCCGGTGGCTCTGTTAAGGCTGTTTGAAAGCGAGTCGATGGCTGGTAGAAAACTTATTGTTATTCTTAATAAAATGCGATTTATTTTAATGGATGGATTAATTTCAGTCATATCTGCATAGAACTTTGAGTCTTCGACAATTTAAGCGCTGTTGCAAAAATTACCGCAAGATCATTTAACGCACTGATGCATTGTAAATTTTGGTTGCGCTTTTTAAATTCAGGTTATCAAATCTACTGGT